TTCTCCAAAATAGACATGCGTTCTGCTTATATCAAGTAAAGATCAGGGTAGAGGACATTCTCAAGATAGCTTTCAGAACCAGATACGGATATTATGAGTTCATGGTCATGCCATTTGGATAAACTAACGCGCCAGCCATTTTTATGAACTTGATGAACAAGGTTTTAAGACAATTCCTGAATTAGTTAGTCATTGTATTATCGATGATATCTTGGTTTATTCAAAGAGCAGAGAGAAACATGCTTACCACGTGACCCAGGTCTTGCAGATTATTAGAGAGAAGAAACTGTATGCAAAATTGACTAAGTGTGGGTTCTGACTCGAGCAGACTACATTTCTAGGGCACATCATAATAAGGGGTGGAGTATCAGTAAATTTTAAAAAAGTTGAGGCAATATTTGGATAGGAGAAATTGACCTCGGTTACCACCATCATCCACGCCTTGAAGACCTAGCGCCCCTACCTGTATGGAGGGACTTTTGATATTTATATCGACCATAAGAGCTTGAAGTACATATTCATTCAGAAGGATCTCAACATGCATCAGATGTTGGATAGAGCCCCTCAAAGGTTATGATTGTAATATTTTGTATCATTGGGGCAAAGGCAATATGGTAGCCGACACACTCAGCAGAAAAAGTGCAGGTATGTTAACTCACCTAATGATTTTTGAATGCAAGGTACTAGGGGCTGCACAACATATACAATTTCAGGACTTAAAGAGAGTTACATGTTTGGCTCACCTGATTGTTAAACTCGAATTGACCAGGAGAATAAAAGAAACCCAATCCATCGATTCCACCATAGCAGCTCTCAAGAAGGATGCAGAATAGGGAGTAAATTCAGAATTTCGAATCTCTACCGATGGGTTGCTCAGGTTTCAAGATAGGGTGTGTGTTCTAGATGATAGTGAACTAAGTAAGGACATTATGACAAAGGCTCACAACTCAATGTTCATTATACATCCTAAAAATATCAAAATGTATCCAAATATGCGACCCCGATTTTGGTGGAGCGGGATGAATAGAGAGATAGTTGACTTTGTTTCCAAGTGTCTAATATGTCAACAGGTTAAGACAGAGCATCAATACTTAGGCGGGCTACATCAACCATTATCGATCTCGGAGTAGAGGTGAAAACATATCACAATGGACTTTATGACGGGGTTACCTAAGGCCCGCTCAGGACATGATGCTATATGGGTAATTGTCAACCGACTCACCAAGTCCTCTCACTTCTTGGCTATCATGATGACCGACCCTTTGGACAAGTTAGCAAGAATATATATACTGGAGATAGTCAGGTTACATAGAGTTTCAGTAACAGTAGTATCCGATAGAGACCTCAGGTTCACCTCTCGGTTTGGTCTAGTTTTCAGCAAATCATTGAAATGAAACTGTCCTTTAGTACTACATTTCACCCACAAACCGATAGACAATCAGAGAGGACGATCTGCGTACTAGATTATATGTTTCGAGCTTGTGTTCTAGATTTCGGGGGCCATTGAGACAATCAACGTGTCTTACCATGCGACATGCTCTAGTTCGTCAGCGCTGCTAACTGGGGCATTCTACGTGACTGAATTTTTTCTTTTTGCACTTTAACCCCATTTTTCTAATTTTTTTTAAAAAAATATTATCCAAACTCAAATTTTTACCCATTTTTCTCAAAATTATTTTCGATTACATCCCTAACTTATTTTTTTCAATAATTTAATAAAATAAAATTACATTAATTTATAAATAATATTTTTATTTATTTTTAAATTATCAAAATTAATCCCGGGCTAATTTTCGGGCCTGGTTATTACAGATTCACCTATGCAATCGATATAAACAAGCAAAGATCGGACAATCCAGATTGACGCAAGATGGAAATGAATATCTCGCATCGCAAGGAAACCCAAACCCTAACCGCTAGCCCCCGCTAGAAAAAAAGAACTAGGCGTTGGAAAAAAAAAAACAACTGCCGACCGCCGCCGTATTAGAGCCACCACGGTCGCCAAAAAAGGTAAAATTTTCACTTACCCACTCGGAATTTGATTCTGAGCATCCCTGTGGCTATATCAGAACAAGAGGGACCCAGGGGGTGAGCCAAAAATCATAGGCAAAGCCAGACGTAGTGACCACAACTAAAACCCAAAAATCCCTCTGACGTAGTGATTCACGCGATTTTCTAATCATTGTATTCATCATCCTTTTCTATATAGGTTCGTTGAAGAATGAACCTCAACCGTGAAGGAGGACCAAGGAGCCGCCATACCCGGAGACCCCCTTCCTGGTAGGTTCAATTTTTTGTTATTTTTCAGCCAACCCAGACCCACTAACGTATTGTTTTACAGGGATAAGTGTAAAAT